TTGCTATATGATATATCACTTTCTGAAAATAAAGAAATCTTATTTTTCAATTTTAATAAAATAGTTTTTCTGTTTTATAACTTTGAAGAAAAATATATGCAGACCTGTAAAACTGAGCTATTTCATGAGTTTCCAAACTGCAAGTTATTTTATAGCCTCCATTTGGTAATTATAGAGATTTATATCCTTTTTTTCATCCTCCACAAAATTCAGAGCTGATATGTCCAGTTGACTTGGAAACTGACTTAGGCCTCCACATTCATTATTTTTGATAATAAAGGTGTTAGATCAGATTAATGATTTAAAACTAGTGTATGTTTGAGAGTGGAAGAAGGAGGTTTAAAATTAATTTATAGGAATATAATCCACTGGTCATTTTCACATTTCATCAAAAAATATTTTAGGGGGTGTCTCAATAGTAATTGATCACATTGAGGTGACAGAATGTACCATTACTGCTTCACTAATAGAAGAAAGTCATTAATCTCCTTTTAGGTCCAGACCTTCAGTATAACCTGACAATTTATCATGTATCAAGGAATTAACATATTTTTTAAATTATAAAGCAGCAGCATGCCAGTATACCATGGATTCAGTTGATGTTGCAAAACAAATAATGTCATCCATATCAATATGTTATACAGTTCTTATTATTACCACATAGAAAAACACTTTAGCTAATCTGGTTACCCTTTTCAAAATCTCTTACTATTTAACTAAAAATGTAAATTTATTTTAACTTGTTTATGAACCATTGGGATAAATACAACTAATAATTCCATATTATATAGACAACATATAACATGTCTTTGTCTTTTAAAAACAATGTATATAACACTACAAATTTTTAAAAATCTGGGTGATTTAAAGTTTTTTGTTTTTTTGTTTTTTTTAAGTAAATTAGGTGTATCTGAAATGAAGTTGCCATAGCTGCCTAATCCAATGTTAGTGGAATGATTCTGTTTAATTCTTGGATTATCGTATTTCACTTGTAGAATTTTATATCAATATTTTAGTTAACAATTTATATTATCTAGTAATTAATAACTTGAATGTGTTTCCCTTTGCATTATATGCTAGTTTTCTACAGTACATAGCTATCAATTTAATTTTTTTCTACTTGGTTTGAAAATATTTTTAGAAAATAAACTCATTAAATGAACTATTTCTAATTAATGATGCATTGATCACATATTTATGAATAATATTTCATTTAAACCAAAATATTTTAGAGCCCTTTTTCTAGTATTAATTAACATAAAGCTAGCAAGCATAATAATAAAATTGCAATAATAATTCTAGTGATATAAATTTTAATTTGCCACTAAGTCAATTTAAAAATATTTATGTTGATTAAAGTCATACAAATGGGATTTGCAAGCCCTTCTATGCTCTTACATTCAATGCATATGTTATTGCACTATGCTGAAGGTATTGTGCTGTGCCAAATCCCTCTTTTTCTCCTGATACTGCAGTGAATAAGGATAGCACAGAAAGAGCTCAGAACCTCAGGGAGGAAGGTCACCATCAATAAACAGTTGTATGCATTCAAGGCAGGTATACATGAGAGACAACTTCTTAAAATTAGAGCAGTTTTACTTCTAAGCATTAGTGCTTCTGTTTTTCACATAAGAGAAAGTAAATAAGAAATAGACTTTCCTAGAACACTCAGTTATAGCACCTGAGAAAGAGAGAAAAAAAAACCTTGAAGTCAGTAGAATTTAGGTCACTGCTAAATTAATATTTTCTCTATGGATATTCCTCTACCAATCACTTTTATACACACTTCACATCTAAGTTTTTAGGGTGAAATATATTGAAAATCTCGCTTTTCCACTGAAGCTCCATTAGCAGGAACAAACTCCACTGCATCAATATCTAAGAAACTATTTTAAAGCAAGGAGGAGATTGCGGGACCTTGTACCCAACAACAAATCATCCTGATTTTATTTTTAAGTCATGCCTGATGCACTCTTTCCACAATGCCCGCTTGACTTCTGCCTCCCCAGAAGTTTAAATCTCTGCAACATGTGAAGTTGGTAACCAAGACATGGGTAGCTCTACCTTAGTTTTTTCTATAATGTGTGGTGCTGAGCGTATTTCGTTCTTCCTATATCCTAAACAAATTGGCCTCAGAGGTCTAAACAGGGCTTCACACACTGAACCTGCATCCCTCCTAACACCATCTGTATGTCCATTACCATATTCCTTTATTTATATCACTCATGTTTTGTATATGGGAAATAAATTGGGAGAAATTACATTTCTCTTTCTTATTGACCCAGGAACCAGAAATTATGAATATTTATTATTTTCTTATAGAGTCAACAGCAGTGTTTGTACTGTAATCTTTATAAAATATTGCGAAGAAGAATATGGGGGCCTTGTTTTATATATATATAGGCATTCTTCAAGTTATGAAAATCCGTGCTCAATAAACTGTGTTCATTCTTCTCTTTCCTACATCTCCCGTGATCTTACCCATAAGAAAATAAACATGCTGTCTCCTATCTGAACAAAGGAGGATCCTTTATTTGATCTTAGAGCTACAGTCTTTTCTCCTATTCATCTTCACAGCCGAACTGTCTGAAAGTGTAGTCCCTACATTTTGTTTACTTTGTGATATGGCTTGGCTTTGTGTTCCCCACCCACATCTCACCCTGAATCGTAATAATCCCCACATGTCAAGGGAGGGACCCAGTGGGAAGTAAGTGAATCAGGGGCACGTTTTTCCCATGCTGTTCTCGTGATAGTGAATAAGTCTCATGAACTCTGATGGTTTTATAAAGGGGAGCTCCCCTGAACACGGTCTCTTGGCTGCTGCCATGTAAGACGTGACTTTGCTCCCTCATTCATTTTCCAACATGCTGTGAGGCCTCCCCAGCTGTAAGGAACTGTGAGTTCATTAAACCTCTTTCCTTTATAAATTATCCAGGCTTGGGTATGTCTTTATCAGCAGGGTAAGAACAGACCAATACACTTTTCTTCAAATCAAATTCACTCTTGAACCTATAGTAATCCAGGTCTGTCCAATGTTAGCTCGGAAAATCTCATGATTCAGGAAAACCCTCATTCCTAGACAAATTGGAAAAGTTGCTCACCCTAAACCCCTCCTCCTCCCCGCATAATCTTCACCTCCACTCATTCTCGAAATTTTGATAAACTTCCTATGTTTAATGCATTCTCTCCTTTTCATCTGCACTATTTCCTAGCTCAAATTCTCACCCACTCACAGCCCATTATATTAGATTCCTCACATGACTGATTCCCTTACTTCCTTATCAAGATCATCTTTCTAAAAAGAGGAGAAATAAAAGTAAAATGCTAAGGCCCTCCCCCAGCCAACTGAACGAAGCATCTCTTAGCCAACAGGACCCCAGAGTAACCTTGAAAACTGAGCTCTCAGCCAGGACAGGACGGTGTTCAGAGAAGCCTCCTCATGCTCCCTCCCTTGATAATGACCATTAGCCTTGCTTCCCTAAGGGCTAAACAGAAACCAGCCCTTCCTTCCTTCCTTTTTTTTTTTTTAATTTTTTTTAAAAACAGAGTTTTGCCCTTGTTGCCTAGGCTGGAGTGCAATGGCATGATTTTTGGCTCACTGCAACCTCTGCCTCCTGGATACAAGTGATTCTCCTGCCTCAGCCTCGCAAGTAGCAGGGATTACAGGCATGCACCACCATACCCAGCCAATTTTGTATTTTTAGTAGAGATGGGGTTTCACCATGTTGATCAGGCTGGTCTGGAACTCCTGACCTCAAGTAATCCACCTGCCTCGGCCTCCCAAAGTGCTGGGATTACAGGTGTGAGCCACTGCACCCAGCCCAAACCAACCCTTTCAAAAGACCTCAAGAAATCAACCAGCGGAGGCGGAAGTTGCCGTGAGCAGAGATCGTAAGGCTCGGTCTCAAAAAACAAAAAAATTATAAGGTATGAAGATGTGTGGTTTTTTTTAAAGTAATTTTCTCTGTTTTGGAGGTTAAATCAACCAGAAACCTGATATTGCCCTTCCTCTTTTAGCCTGATAAGAGACCAGTGACCATGAAGTGGTTCTGGCCAGTCTGTGGAGCATGTGCAGTAAGGGTTTTCATGTCCTCTACCTTCTGATATCAGGCAGCTGAAAACTCCAGCCTTGGATCATGCTAAACTGCCATTTTTGGTACATGGGACCCATGAAGGGGCATGAATGTATATTGCGCATCTGCATGATTCACCTTTCATAAATAATCATGACTCCTCCTCAAGCTTATGAAATATTGACATAGCCAACTCAGCATAAATTCCTGTTCCCCTTGCTCTTCCCTTGAAGTATCTGTTTCTGGCTTCTGGCTGGACGCTATGATTTCCAGCTTGTCCAAACAGAGACCCTGCAGACTGTAACCCCTTATGAGGAATTTATTTTCCAAATTTATGAACCTTGTCATTCTTCAGTTGACAAGGTAAATCTTATTATGTTGCCCTGTTTGCTTAATGCTCTTTAATTCCGTCAGAAATAGTTTAACACTTTAATCTAATATGTCATGATCTTGTTTTTGTCTCTCGGAACACTCTTGCCTATCATGCCTCTTTTTCCTTAAGCTCTATCCATTTATATCATTACTGTCAGAACATGCCATTACAGCCTCACATCTCTATGACTTTGAGCATGTATTGCCCTCTCCTAGAATCTACCCCTCTCCAGATGACCTATACATCCTACTTACCCTCTAGATCTTAGCTCAAGCATAGGCTCCTTTGAAAGCCATCCACACTCTTCCAGCAGATATGGGTTCTCCTTTTTGCTTTCCCCCTGGACTTACATAGTCTTCCATTTTATTAACGCATGTCTCATTTCATCAAAATAATCTTGTTTCTCTTCCTTTACCTAGCTATAAGATCCTTAAGGAGAGGCACAGTGTGTGTTTCCCTTTTGTATCCCATGAACCAGCAGAGCTTCTATCTCTATAAACAATTGTTGAAATAATGTTTAATGAGATAATCATATTATTTTTACCTGATCACATTTGGGAGGCAGAATGGATACAAGTGCATAGAAAGGATCTTGTAATTATGAACTTTTTACTGTTCTTTTGCCCCGAATGCCCTTACACAATCACTTTTTAAGTCATATTCCATACCCAAAGAATTACCAAGAATAATCAGACTTATCAAAACCTGGGAAAATAGTGGATGATTTACTTACTGTTCTTGCATCCCATATAGACAGGGTCTTGTCTGCGGAACTTGTGAGAAGAGTATTGGAGAAAGGAAAAAACTCAATGCTGTTCACAGAATCTGTATGTCCATACAGCGTACATCTGCATCTTTCACTGTAAAGAGAGACATTAAGAATTTTAGGAGTTAGTATCTATGCTGTCTATACAAGGCTACTAAAAATAATTTAAGGAACTGAGGCATAAAATAATTTTATTAATGGCAAAAATTTTACAACAACATTTTAAAAGTAAAATGCTATTAAAAAAAAAAGCTACAGCTACCTTATATTCTCAGCACTTTATAGGATTAGTAGCATAAAACTAAACTTAAATTACCTTCAATTTATGGAATCACTTGGTAAAGTCATCTTTATACTATCACATTTATTCTTTACCATGAAATGACAGTATAAAAATTATCCCCATATAATAGAGGAATATGTTAAGACAATATTGCACCAATTCATAAGACAAACTCTTTTAGTCATTACTTTTCTTAATTGTATCTCAGACTTGGTTATATACTGGAATCAACTGAGGCACTTCGGTGGCTACCAGAGACTGGGGGAGGGAGAAGGAAGGGGAAAATAGGGAGAGATTGGTCAGTGGGTACAAAGTTACAGTTAGATAGGAGGAATAAATTTTGGTGTCCTGTTGCACAGTAGGGTGACTATGGTTAACGGTAAAATATTGTATACTACAAAACAGTTGGAAGAGAGGCTTTTGAAAGTTCTTGCCACAAAGAAATGGTAAATGCATGAAGTGATGGATACACTCACTACCCTGATTGGATCTCTCTACACCACAGATATGTATTGAAGCATCAAATTGTACCCCCCATATGTACAATTATTAATGCACTGATTAATTAATTAAACCAAAAATAAAAAGAAAAAAATACTCATACCCAGTCTCAAGCACCAGACATTCTATGCCGATTGATGATGGAGCCTGGGAATTAATTAGTGGATTCATGCCTCCCCTGGTAATTATAATAGGCCTTTAGGGCTGAGAATTTAAACCAGTGGTTTTTAAAGTTTTTTACCCAGACTAGCAGTATCACTGTCACTTGGAAACGTGTCTGAAATGCAAATTCTCAGGCCTCATCCCAAACCTAATGAATGAGAAACTCTGAAGGAGGCCCAAACAATCTGTGTTTTAGCAAGCTCTTCAGGTGATTCTGATACATGTTAAAGTTTGAGAACCACTAATCGAAACTATTAGAAATGACCCAGAAGAAAGGGACAACTGCAGCTGTGTTTTTTTGCCATTTTATGAAAGGGCTGTTTCTCGATGAAATAGGATATACACAGAGCAATATCACTCCTCATGTGTAATGACTGATTGCTCTTAAATAACTTTATTTATAAACTTATTTTTAAAATAGAGAAAAAATAGAATCAGGATAACTAATAAGTACTCAAAACAGAGGAGTCAAGATAAATGCATTCCTAATATAATAATCAGATAGTTGTTCGTGCGTTGCGACTCACACCTGTAATCCAAGCACTTTGGGAGGCCAAGGCAGGCAGATCACCTGAAGTCAAGAGTTCGAGACCAGCCTGGCCAACATGGTGAAACCTCATCTCTACTAAAAATACAAAAATTAGCCTGACGTGGTGGCATAACGCCTGTAATCCCAGCTACTTGGGAGGCTGAGGCAAGAGAATTGCTTGAACTCCGGAGGCAGAGGTTGCAGTGAGCAGAGATTGAGCCACTGCACTCCAGCCTGGGTGACAGAGCAAGGCGCTCTCTCAAAAAAAAAACAAATAAAAAAAAAAAAAAAAATATATATATATATATATATATATATATATATGTACACACGTATGTATAATATATATGTATAAATCAGATAGTTAATCTTTGATTAACTAGTTTTTCTGTGGCTTGAACCACGCTATGTACAATAATATAGTGCAGCAGGCAAAACTCTGCAATGGGAGCCAGGAGACTGAATTCCAGTCCTGACTGGCAAGAACTAGCACGGTAACCATAGAAAAACTGTTTAATTTTAGTGGTCATAAATTTTCTTCTTGCGTGAATGAAATTATTTACTTGATGCACTCAGTGATCCTGTCCAGCTCCTACATTCTGAGATCAAAGTTAGAAATGTAAAATGGGAAGGAAGAAGTCAACTTGAGTATAGCGTATATGAACTCTAAGAAGCAAAATATGCCCTTCCTTCCTTAAATGTTGGCATTTTTGAGACATCAAAAGAGATAAAAATTTGCATGTATATGAATATGTATGTAAATTATTTAGCAACACTTCCCCTTTCTCATCAAGGCTAAGTATTACAGTAATAAATATTTGGAGCAAATCAATACATCAGGAATATTTTGTGTTAGTTTCCTTACCTCAATATTTCAGATAGGTTGATAGTATTTTAACCACTAAAGTTGATGATGTGTACACCAGGGGTCAAAAACCATGATGCCGGACTGACTGCTTATTTTTGTAAATACAGTTTTATTGGAATATGCCAATCTGTTTACACATTGTCTATTGCTGCTTTCCCACTACAGTAGCAGAGTTACATAGCCACAACAGAGACAAATAAAAAATATTTAACTCATAGCCCTTTGAAAAAAGTTTGCTGAACCAAGAAGTACACCAACTTATTTGAATATTTAGAAGTATACTTGGGTTTTACTTACGACGTTTAATCTTTTTTGAAGGGAGTCCTGACACTCACAAAATAAGTTATTTCTTTTTAAAAATTACTGTTTTATGTACAAATTTTATCTGCTATTTTTAATGAATCTAAAAATGTAAGTATGAACATTTTTAAAGTTTCTATTCCAAAGCCCACTATCTTGAAATAATCATCTTTAAATATTAGTATAATTACTCTAGTTATAGTTCTATGGAGAGACAGTGAGGTAAGGTAGGAGAGAAAGAGAGAGATAAAAATTAAGAATTGTATTCCTATTATATTAAAATGGTGAATTATTATATTATATGACATTTAACAATAAAATAAAATAACTAAAGGCTTTGCTGAAAGTCAAGTACATACTTTCTTGCTACAAGACAAGAGCTATCACTATCTAAAAGATATCATTAAGAAAAATATTAAAGTATGCTATTTTAATAACATTTCATTTTTAAAAAGTATATTGAAAAAAGGAAAATAATGTATTTATATTCCTCCCACTTTCTTTTTACTCACCTCTGAAATTTAAAAAATCTTATTGTTAAATTTAAAATATCAAAAATCATAACATATTTTGATCCGTAATCACAAAGCTCAAATTCAGTGTCCCTCCTTCCCCATCTTCCTAGTGTTTAATATATGTTTAATCCTCTGCATCCATACTTTTAGACAGTTTAATGATTATTCAGTACTTCAACAGCAGTTTTCACTGATTATAATTTCTTGGGCCACCTGATCTCCTCAAATGTTTGTGGAGAAACGGTTCACTGTTAGAGTACTGCAAAGTCTGAGGTCAGTCCAATCTCTCCAATTATTCCCACTCAACCTTCTTTAGGGCTTGTTTGATGTTTATGCCCAAGAGCCCTTACAGTTTCTTTCCCAAATACTGAAGTTCAGAAATTTTAGCACAGCATACCCTAATAGAAAGCCCCAGCTATTATTCCTATACTTTTATTATTCCAGGCAAGTTTCTTCCCCTGTGTCTTTTGTTTCTTTCTCTTCAATTTAGCCCATTTATTTTGTTTAGAAACATTATGTTCTTTTTTGTCCTTCCCCTGTGTCTTATTTTTTCTTTCTCTTCAATTTAGTCCATTTATTTTGTTTAGAAGCATTATGTTCTTTTTTGTCTAATTTGCCTTTATATTTAATATTTTCTCTACAATCCTTATTTTTTTCTTTTTTAATATCCGTTGTTTATAACTCTCAATTATGTTTATTCTACTTGTGTGTTGGGTAGGGGGAGGGCAATCAACAGCTTTTATTTCTGTTTTCTAGCTCACTTGTTTCTTGATCTTCCTCAGTCTGCTTTTCATTTGCATCTATTATCTTATAAATCATAATAAAATATTTTAACTCTTTTGACATTTTATTATATAAAACAATTTAAAATATAGCATTTCAGTAATTTCTTTGCAAATAGAGTGTTTTGTCTGAATTATTGATTTCATATCTTTACTTAGGTGATTCCTTTATGCACTGCACGTTCTTCACTGAAATTTGGGGTTTTATTCATTAACTCTTCAATTTTTGCAATTCTTTATAAAATCTGATTGGTTTCTTTTTATTTTGACTTATGAAGACAGCTATTGGGGGATGGCTATTTTCTAAAGATTAATGGCAAAAGGTGGGAAAATGGGAAAATTAATTGGCAGAAGGAGAGAAAGCCACTGACTTCTATTCAGATTTGTTGTCTCCCACAAAATCTTTTCATCTCATGTGCTGTTGACCTGATCCCTGAAGTTTATCTCTTCTCCATTTCCTTACTTTACTTTCAAGTACAGATGTAGTATGTTGCAATACCCCTAACGTCACAGGCTCTATTTTAACTCTGAATGCGCCTGCCTCCCTCACAACCCCCATTCTGCCTGACCTATGGCAATTTGCTTTATCTCTTTTATCTAACAATAAAAATGGCTTGTTAGGATTTATGCTTCCAAGTATGATAAAGTAACCAGTTTCTGTACTTCTTTTACAATAAGCAACTGTAAAATTACACACATTATCTAAAGTAAGTTTTTACTGGCATTGAACTAAACACATAGCACAGGACTATAATCCTTAAGAGAAGGAAAAACTCAAAATGAGTTCTGTAACCTCCATGACTTTCTGCTTGGATGCACTCTTTACTATCAAATACAGAAACAGAGCCCAGTAGAACTGAAGTTTCACTGAGTTGAGAAGCAGTGAGAAAAATCTAGGCTTCTGAGTTGCTTAAAATTTGGAGTGTAGGGTAGCTGACAAAAGGGAGCTGAGCTGGGAATGACAGCAGTTTGTGTGAGGATTCACCATGAATTTTGGGCGAAGTTCTAGATGGTGTTTTTATAGAGTAAAATTCCACAAGGTCTAGCAGAGATTTCCTGCTCTATAGTTGACAGCTGAACAATAATACCAGAGATTAGCTACTGCTAGAAAGAATACACTGGAGTTTAATCCTGGGTGAAGTGGAGAGAATTTA